AATAAGAAAACCATTTTAATAAGATCGTCTAATGGAGTTTATATTAACATTCTTTTCTCAAAGATCTGAATCAAGTTATGGAACATAAATGGTATCTGATTCCTTGACTGTCATAGAGCGAGGCATGTTTTTCGGCGAAACATTTCAACCTTCTTATGAAAGCACTTCTGAGACGGGATATAAAAAAAATTAAATTATAGCCATTTCACTGCTTTTGTGTTACTTTTCTATAGAATGTGTACATGTGTTAATTATATTTTATAAACCTCGAAATGTAGGCTATGAGAACGTTCTTTTTTTTTATTTCATTGAAGCTATCACACCTATTTAATAGATCAGTCCAAAGAAAAGGCGCGAAGATTTAACGTGGCGAAATTATGAATAATGGCTCGTCTTTTATAATTCTTAGACAGGTGTACTGTAGCAAAAGTATACACAAGTACATTTAGAGCAGTACTCCCAATAGCGTAATGGTTAGCGCGTTGGGGATAAAAGGGGAAAAAAGCGGATGGGATTTTCATGCTGGTGACCTGGATTCAATTTGTGACCAAAATTTTTAATCATTTCTCAGCCAGAATCGTACGGAAGACCTCTCGTTGCTCGCAACGAGATCTAATCTAGTTATTATTATTCTTTTTTTTTAGACAAAATTTTGTGCAGGCGATTTCTCGTAAACTATTCGGTGGATTTCAATGAAAATTTAAGGAATTATAGGTCATTATATGAATTTTATATAAAATTTCGTTCGTTCGAAAATTCTCAACCAGTGCCAAGTTATGGGCAATTTCCTGATTTTAAAATGCAATTTTGTCTTCGAATGTTCTCAAAAACGGCTCAAGGTATTAACTGGAGACTTGTTAGAGATGATAGACCATGCGTTGTAGATGTGTAATTTTGCCTTCGTTTGCGTCGTCAGTACTTCGGTCGCTACAGGAAGTGAATTCAGAATGTGCACTTTTTCAACTTTTTTTGTTTTTCAATATTTTTCTTTGATATAATTAATGGTAATTAAGATCCTACTGGAAATGCCAAATATATAATTTATTTTGGAATTGATCAATCCACACACTAGATATTCGCATTTAAAAATCTGAAGCGTGTTTAAGATGGCGGCGGTCTCTGTAAACTCCGCCATTTAGCAAGTCGGGTTCTAGAAGGTCAGCTGAGCGTTTAGATGAATGAAACTTCTACCAAAAAGATTTATGAAATATAAAGGATTCTTTAGATTGCTACATCGCAATTACCCTGCATTGAGTATAGTTTTAATATGAGGTTTCCTCAAACTTCTATTGAAATTGCTTTAGTCTGCATCTCATAGTAGAATACAACATGACTACAAGTGGAAATACGATGTCTACAGTCTTTTGTTTTGCACCAGGGAAAACTTATCCTAAACCATGGTTATAAGAAATAGCTTTTCAAGAAACTTGCCTGACTTAATATTCACTATAATTCTGAAGCAATACTTGACTTCTGTTTATTTTACCTCGCAGGCTTATGACATATTAAATGAATAGGAAAGACAAAAATAAGAAAAAAAACATTTTTTTAAAGATTGTTTATTAAAGGGTATATAAATATTCTTGTAATAAATGCAAGTTATTGAACATGAAGAGTATCAGATTCCTAGACCATCGGAGGGCGAGTGATTTTTTTTCAGTGAAACATTCCAGTCTTTTCATGAACGTCTAACTCATCTCCACTTTGGGGGTAAACAAGATACAAAATTCGTCGAAAATCTTTCCGAATTCACAGCTTTGTTGTTACTTGGCCGTATACGATATTATATTTGTATAATGTGATAAATATACTTTCTTACACTCGAAATTCCGGATTTAAGAACATACATTTCTAATTTTCATTGAAGCTATCAGATCCATTCAATAGATCAAACATTTCAAAGGAATAGCGTGAAGAACTACTTGTGACGTTTGGCACGAAATAATATATCATGGCCGACTTCAGTAGTAGACAAATGGCGAAAATAGTGCAGAAATATATAACATTGGCATGCCTGTGTATGGTTTTGCAAGGAATAAAAAGTTGAATACATATCGAATAAAAGAAAGAAAACAGTATCATCTGTTCATCACTTATAGATTATTTATCCTAAAAATTACTGTTAAAACCCAAGCAACAAATTCCGATGTGATCATCTTGAGCAAGTTTGGCGCGAAGATTTACTCGTGGCGTTTAACGCAAAATTATGAATCGTGACCGCCTTTCATTATTCTAAGACAGATGAATTGTTTCAGAAGTAGTATACAAGTAGATTTAGAGATGTGTTCCCAATAGCGTAACAGTAAGCGCTTTGTATTTCCATGTTGGCGACCCGGGCCAATCTCCTTTGTTTCCATAAAAAGTTTTATCACTTTTTCAGCTCGATTTTGCGGTTTGTTTGTTTTTTTTTCAGAATCGGACGGAAGACCCCTCGTTGCTCGCAACGAGTTTCTTTTCTAGTTATTAGTCTTCTTCCGCTGATTTTTTATTTCGACATTTATCGAAAAGACTTTTTGTTCTTCGTAAAGGTCATTAAAAGTTATTAACAAATTTGATCCAACGCGTATGAACTATGACCGCTTTCGAAGTTATTGCCCATTTCGCAAGAAATGCTTGTTATCGCTACTCCTCCGAAACCGTAAACTGTAGAGGTATGAAACTTTCATCAATGTCTTCAACTACTTAAGAGGACTCTGGAATCTATTCATTGCGAAAGTATTCGATGACTCCTTCATTGAGTTATAGCCCATAAAACTTTTTGAAATTTACAAATAATTAAAAAAATTGAAAAAGAGAAGTTGTCCAGACATGGAACCAACTGCATAAGATTTATTGATCTTTGATCATAAAATTTATGCAAAGGTCAAAGGTCAAGGTCACTCCAAAAATGAGAAAATAAGCATTTTTTATATCTCTTTTGTCTTTTAACATATACTTAATGTCTATGCATCATTAATATGTACTCTTTAAACTGTTTCAAAGATTTCATTTTTGTCCCCTAACATTAACCTCTTTAAAAGTTATTGCCCCTTGTGCTAAAATCCTTGTTATCGCTACTCTTCTGAAACTGTAGATCATAGAGACACCAAACCTTCAATAATGTCTTAAAGGTCTTTAGGCCTAACTTAACTGTATAAATGCAAAAGGATCAAATGACCCTTTATATGAGTTATTGCCCTTTAACTTCTTTATACTTACTATTAAACCTTATAACTTGTATTCTATAAGTCGTAGAAGCATGGGGTCAATTGCATTGTGACCCTTGACCTTTGACCTTAACAAAAAAATCAAGGTCAACGGTCAAGGTAATTCGTTTTAAAATTTTTTATTTTTTCTATGATTTAAGAGAGTTTTTATTTTCTTTTTCACGGAATTTAATTTTTAGGAGTCAGATATAAAAACAAATTTGAAATTCAAATTCAAAGAAGGTGGAAAGACCTCTTATTGTTCTGTGAACAATAAGTCTCCTAGTTTTAGTAGAAACAGTCCGCGTAGTTTTTGAACGGCCCTCTTATGTCGATACTATATGGTGAGCTTAAGATAAAAGATACTTCAGATTCTGACTCTTCAGTTTCATACTTGGATATTTTACGTGAAAAAGACGTAAATAGAAGTCTTAGAACCAAGCTGTATAAAAATGTGATGAGTTTATCATTTCTATCGTCAACTTCCTTTAGTTAAGCAGCAGTATAGGTACGATACCTGCATACAGAATTTGTATACATTTCAACTGTACAATACCTGGAGAGCATGCGCTACGTATGAACAATTTCGTAAAGGAGGTAAATTTTTGACTAACTCGTTGATGAAACAAGAATCCCAGTAGTCTCGAATAATGTCATCATTTCGTAAATTCGGCACAAAAGTCGCAAAGAAAGGTGTAAATTCATACGCCGATGGCTCGAATCCCACTGTGGGACATGGAGACCGGTCCTTTGAATGCGACCGTGTAAACCGAAGTCCCGTATCGCAGTAGGTGCTGGCACGAAAAAAATCTCTCCCGACTGAATAGCCATGAGTGCCGCGTATAGGATAAAATTTGCTGCTCTCCACCGGCAAGTGATGGCGTCTCAATATGAGTAAAACATCTCCAGAAGGATGTTAATAAATATACATTTACAATCAATTCGTAAATTAAACTGTCGATACAATGAAATTGTCGGCAAATACAATTGATTATTGAGTCAAGTGCTGACTGACATGTTTCACACTTATGGTTAGTCCAGTATTTATACACTGAATTGACAAGTGATTTCTCCGTTATTTCCCGATCATGACAATGAGTACGCGGCGGGTGTGACTGGTTGGCAGGGGATGCTCGCTCCTCTATGGCACCTGATCCCAATTCTGATCTCTTGGAAGTCCTTTCTTGTTCTGTTCCTAGTTTGTATTGTTTGATGGAATTTGATATGAAATACTGTTTATTATTATATACCCATCAATTTCCTTGTTTTTGTTACTGTTAATTTTACAGAGTTTGATCCGATTTTCCGGATCACCACACTGTGGTTTTCTGAATCCATATCACCACTCTCTGAAACTGATGACGTAGTACGCAAAAACATGACGTTATTTTTCTTGCGCGTTAAAAAGTCCCTTGTTATTATGCTTTGTATTATGTACAAATATTATACAATTGATCTATAAAGTTTTATTATGCTATATTTAGCTAGTTATGAGGGGGTATATAATAAATATATCATTATAACAGTAACTTGATCCGAAGAGCCGTATCATGTCTCGTTGACAGGCGCGGATCATCAGATCAAACTCGACGCTTCGCGTCTCGTTAGATCTGATGATCCGCGCCTGTCAACTCGACGTGATACGACCCTTCGGATCAAGTTACTGTTATAATAATATATATTTATCTCCATATATTTCATACATCCCCTTAGTAACTCAGTCAATATTCACTTACCTAGTGCTCACATGTAAACGTGTAAAACAAAAAAAAAACATTTAAAATCAATCTAATCTCTCTGTAACTTTATTCTTACCTCTTGGATCTGAAGACTTTTTAGCTGTAAAAAGGAAGAAAAAAGGAATTTTAGTTTATTTCCTTAATAAAAAAAATCAGTAATAGATACATGTATATCCAAAATTTAAATGACGTCTCAGTAATCGGATAACAATATAAAAAAAATGAAAAGAAAACACAAGATGACAAGACAACACACACACAAAAAAAACACTAAAGAAAACAAAAAAAGAACTTTGCACAAATGTTATCTCATTTGTTACAACTTGATAGAGAATTTCCTGAACATCAAAACAAAAAACTGGAATCTAAATTGACCTCAGAGTGTCAGAAAGCATTCAATCATCTAAAAGAAAAATTGACTTCTCCTCCATTATTGGCTTATGCAGAACTCAGTGAATTGTTTCTATTGGACGTAGATGCCAGCATAAATTGATTAAGAGTCGTCCTATCCCCAAAAGAAGAGGAAAATTACGAGTAATTGCGTACACAAGTAAAACGCTGAAAGCAAAAGAACGTAAAATGAAAAACTCGAGGAGAATGAAATTAGAATAACTGGCATTAAAATAAAGATTTAAAGAAAAATTCCAGGATTTGCAAACACATTTACAGTATACATGTACATGGATAAAACCAATTTGTGCTATTTATTCTCAGCAAAATTTGGTGCTTAGGAGCAACGCTGGGCGTCACAACTTGCTAATTATGACTTCGATATCAAATACTGCTCTTGAAAATATAACACAAATGCTGATGTACTATCGACATTACAGTCGTAGCAATCAGAATGGACTCCAATCCATTTAAGTTAGCGCGGAATTCTTTGAAATAGCTTGATTTACTTGATAGGGAAATGGTATGGTAAAGATATTAAAGCTATTTAGTTAATGAATATCCTTGTCCTTGTTACAAGAATCTTAATATCTATATTTAAAAAAAAATTGTGTAAAAATGACAAGGTCCTGTCAGCAGGAGTGTGCATCGTCGTTTAGTGTCAAATAAAAACATGATGAAAATTGTGATTTAAATATGTCTTCAAAAACAAGGCTCGTCTCTGATAGACATGCTAATTGTTTTATTTTCTGTATGTACCGGAAGGTGAAAAAAATAATATTCAGAAAGACGACAAAAGATGGAAATAAAAAAGTGTAGCAAGTCCTAGAAAGTTTAAATATTATTGTAAACAGCACTTGGGTTATTTGTATAGTTTCTGTTTGTGTGCTGAACAAAAACCAATAAAGACAAGCCCATATAACTGTCAAGTGAACTAGTCAAACACCGTTAAATATTTCAGGAAAGGAAGAATTTTCACCATGTAAGAATTTTTCGCGAGAAATGGAAACATTTGATTTTCTGAATAAGTAGGTTATTTTCTAATGACTTTTTTCTTTGTCCCGAGGAAGGGACAGGGCGTCCCGAAAATTTGACAATTTTTATATCTACAAATTCTCATGATAATGCGACAAGACAATTCTACGAAAGCCCAGAAGGCTCATTCGAGATTCGAGATTCGAAATACGAGATTCGAGATTCGAAATACGAGATTCGAAATTCGAGTTTCGAGATTCAAGATCTAAAATAATCAATCAAAATGCGGTTTGAGATTCAATTACTCCCCTGTATTATTTTTTACTATCAAAAAAATCGTTGAGTATTTTAATACCGAGGAGGTCATTTGATTAAATTACAACGCAAGAAAAAGTGTTATATATTATCAAAACGAAATTTAAATAAATATTGAATTTTGGTCTGCAAGATATGCTTAATTAATTTATAATAGCTTCTTAAATGTCATAAGAGATTTATTTAAAGAAAATATATATTTCGTGTTATCTACTTTGGATACAGGGTTGTTGACATGATAGTAACCTTAAAATAGATTAACAGTACATACATCCCCCCTTTTTTCCAAACATATTTTTTTTTACTATTGAAAATGTTCATCGAAAGGCCGGTTGCATGCCCCTCCCGCTCCACTGTTTTGGTACAGTGGTGCAGTATAGTCCAAGAAGTTTATGTAGTAGTGTATTAAAAAAATTAGGTACTAAATGAAGTTGGACCCCCCCCCCCCCCGCCCCCTTTCACGCCCCGAAATAGGATTTTCGGGTTTGGACAAATTTTTTCTGTCAAAAAATTGTCAGTTTTTTTTTCAGGTTTGAAATAATATTTTTGTCCTCCCTCCCCCTCCCCCAACCCCACTTTCAAAATCGATGTTAGTACTACGGGTTTCAAGGTGGACAGTGTTTGTGACACGGTATTAGAAAGTGGCCAGTGACCAAGTTTATGAAACCAATAAACAGCCCCTTAATTTCGGATGGCTGACACATGCATGCTTAATAAAGATAATGACCCATTGGAAATAATAAATTTAAAAAAATCATTGTTAATCCCCCTATCCCCACCCCAACCTCGAAAAATAGGGGTTATCTTGGTAATTGGAAGTTATTTTTGAATGGACATAAACATATAGTTACTGTTTTCAATATAGTATACTATATCGGAAAAATATTACGGGAATGGCCAAGTGGGAGGGGGGGGGGTGCAAATGTGTGGTTATCAACATTCATTGTTAATCTTGCGATATCTTGCGATGCATAGATACAATAAATATATATTCGATAATTATTGAAAAGGAAACCGCTCGGGTCTCGCCCGACTTGGTCAAAGACTCAAATATACTAGTAAAACCATAATGCTCATTTCATTGGGGGAAGGGGGGGGGCAGCCATACATTTTCAGTTTTCAACTACTTAAAATTTCTTGACAACCAAAAACAAAGCAAAAAAAGTCATCGGATGTTTTTTATTGAGGGGGCACAGAATTGAGGGGCACAAGCATATAGTAGTTATGAATTCTATAGTATTTTATATATCGGCAAAATTATCAAATTATGGGGGGGGGGCACAATGTAAAGAAATTTACCCTCATCATTGAGCCTATTTCATATAAATAATATCTCCCTCATCAATGTTCTTATTAGAAAAAAATGTCGATTTAAGAATACATATATCTTTTTTTCTTTTATTATCATTTAAGCAAATGACCCATTAGATATGAATATATTCAACGATTTCTTGATAGTAAAACATAAAAAAGGGGAGTAATCAAAATTGAACCTGTCTTTTGATTGGTTAATTTGGATCTTAAATCTCGATACTCGAATCTCGAATTTCGAATCTCATATTTCGAATCTCGAATATTGAATCTCGAATGAGCCTTCTGGGCTTTCGTACAATTCTGGCTATTTGAAGCTCGTTTTTGCTTAACCTCTTGTATAAATTATTAAAAACACAATTCAGTAAAAATGTAATTTATTCAAATAACAAACACAAATGACTAAGAATAAAATCTACAACACATATTACAACAAGTTATATGACAATTAATTGGCTTGGCTTAAAACAAAATATATAGTTAATCAAAAATTGACTAGTTAAACATACAGATTAGTCACTAGATGACATATTTTTTCCTAATCGCATGACACAAAATTTAAAACAGCCCCGCCAATAATATAATGGTTAAAAAAACTCTTAAAAAGCAAAAGGGTGGTGCACAAAAAAGCCAGCACACCAAATTAAACACGTTTTCTTTTTTTTTCTTTCTTCAATAAATTAACAAGTTATGTTAACAAGGAAATTAATCAAAATAGGGTGGTGGAGGGGAAAAGGTGGTTGCTGATAATTTGTGTGGCTTCTTTGATAAGAATTAACCGCGTGATACGTATAACTTCATTTAATTGGTCCAAACTATAAAATCTACCCGTAAATGCAAGGGGCACTCCAAAGGGAAGTAATTGTATGAAAAATTACATAAGCTATAAAAATTATAACAATTTGTATATAAAACAAGTTATTGTATTAAAAAATGTTTATTTATATCCACAAATTTTCCTGATAATGCAACAAGACAATTCTTAATATTCGATGCTAGTTTTTGCTTAACCTCTTGTACAAATTATTAAAAACACAATTTAGTGAAACTGTCATTTATTCAAAAAACAAATGCCTAAAAATAAAATCTACAATACATATTACAACAAGTTATATTACAGTAAATTGATTGGGCTTAAAAAAAAATATACAGTTAATGACAAATTGACTAGACAAACATACAGATTAGTCACCATATAACATAATTTTTCCTAATCACTATGATAAATGTACAATATAACGCCAAATGTGCACCCGAAAAACTGGCCTACTGCAGTGTCCATGACAAGTTTAGAAGTTAGTGGGAACAGCAGTCAAACCTGGTCTATCCAGTTCAATATGTTCAAAACATAATAAAAAAAATATGTAAGCATTGCAAAAAAATTGGACGGAAACTAGTACGAAAATTTGTAGATTGTTTGAACGATTATAGTGAAAATGAATTGATTCTTACGTATACTGCATTTGAATGCCATTAATGGGATGCTGAATAAAACTTTCAGAAAACCCAATCGGGCGGCTTCCATTGTCGCACAAAGCTAATTTCAAATTTGAAACTACGAATGAACGTGAGACTGCTGCACCCGATTTAAATAAAAATAATTGGCAAGATTTATGATTGAAAGTACAAGTCTACAAATATAAGGCATGAGCAGGACAAATTTTAACATCCCAGGTAGCACAAAACATTTTCAAAACATTTTATTGGTGTTGTAAAAGGGTTTTTTCGAAACATTTCAGACTAAACATTTTAAAAATGTTTTTAAAACATTTCCTCTTCTCATTTAAACATTTAAAAAACATTTTAAAAATGTTTTTAAGAAGCTTATGATTAAATCGTTTTGAAACCTTTCTCTAAAATGTTTTTGAAACGTTTTAAAAATGTTTCAAAAGGTATGTTTAGCTTTCATATATCAAGGTTTTTACATTACGTTTTAAAAACGTTCTAAAAACATGAAATGAAACATTCCTTTTTCATAAATCTGAAACATTGCATAAATACGTTTCTGAAACATTTGGAAAGAACGTTTTCAAAATGTTTTTGAAACATTCTTAATTCATTTAAGGGTATTTATAGCTTTCAAATATAAAAGATCTTATAAAACGTTTT